AATTCATTCCATTACTCAGGAGAGCCATCCAGAAATAGCCCATTACTAATGCAGAGCTGGTGTGCAGAGGCGAGCAGGGTAAGGAGGCTGAAGGGCTGTGAGCCTGAGGGGTCGGCTGGGTGCCCCAGTCCTGCCCTGGACCCAGCGGCTGGCACAGCACCAGTACCAGATGCCAGCAGCTCTCTGTTCCAGGAGAGATGAGCTTCTTTGCCAGGGGATGCTCCTGTTGCCCAGCAGGATGAGGCTAGACCCTGGGATGAGGATTCTGTTTGCACTGTTGCCAGATTATGAGCAGATAAAAAGAGTGGAAAACATGAAGACAACTTCATGAAGACAAACAGGACAATCCCAAGTACAAATGCAGAAGAATTAAGTGGGAGCAGCCCTGAGAGGAAGGACTTGGGAGTGCTGGTGGATGAGATGCTCAGCTTGACACAGCAAGGCCCCCGTGTGCAGGGCTGATCCCCCAGCGTGGGCAGCAAGGCAGGGGGGAGCCAAGCACCCCAAAACACAGCCAGCACTGCCCAAGCACGCTGGCAACCCACACTGGCAGCTCCTGGGTGTGAGCAGCACCCGCAGGGCCCCGCTGGAGATGCCTCCTGCTCATCCATGGAGAAAACAAAAGGGAGCAGCAGCTGTGTGCCAGCATTTCCCACTGCCAAGCCCACAGGGCTCCCATGCCCACCCCTGCACCTGCTGTGCACCCACGCTGGGCCCCCACAGGGACAGCAGTGGGTTTAATCTGTGCCACCACTGCCAGCACCAGCCAAATCCTGAGCAGGCATCTCCTTCAGCTCACCAAAAAGCTGCAACACGACCCCAGATTGCTCTGCTCTGCTTTCCAAGCAACTGCTCTAAAGCATCACCATAAAATCAGCCAGGCTGCAGGGCAGCCCTTGTGTTGCTGGTCTCTCCTAGCTTTGTGCCTCAAAATGTGCAGTTCCTGCTGAGCAGGATATAGGGAATTCCTCTGGCAGCAGGATGTGTCCATCACCCAGTGTCTGCTAAGGGGAACCAGGAATAGCAGAGAAAGATGTGAATGCTTTGAAGGGCTCCTACCAGGGACAGAAATCTTTCAATGAACCTCCTTGGCCAGACTCGACTTCCTAGAGGTAAGAGAGGGGTTTTGTTCTAAAGCAGAAATTGCCAAGCAGTGCTGAGGGCCCCACCCTGGTCAGACCGGTCACACCAGGGATCACAGCCCTGGCCAGAGGCACGGCTCTGAATTCTGGGCAGGGCTGGGGGGAGAGAGCTGTGTTGGGAGCAGCCCCTTGGCAGGGACACCCCACAGGATACCCCCAGGGCTGCGGGGCAGCTCCACTGCAGAAATGCTTTTAGCAGCTTGGACTCACTGGTACAATGATAAAACTAGTAAACTTCCAAATTAAAGCCCCACGGGAATGCCCACTGTGGGGAATTTCATTTGCTGAGACACCTAAGCCATGGCCAAGGTAGTACAGGACAAGTGTCCCAGCCACTGCAAGCACCAGAGGGACTCCTACAACAGAATCATGCAATCATTAAGGTTGAAAGGCAGAAAAAATTTCCAAAAAGGGCTGGAAGCAAACAGAGATGCTAAGGAGAAGTGCAATGGGCAGGGTAGAGCGTGAGCTCCTGGATATAGACCTGCTGTAGATATAGACCTGCTATATCCAAACAAGTGATTGTCAAAATAGGAGCTCAGCCCAGTGCTCAAGTTTTGACCTCACCCATTTTTTTGGACATATTCTTTGGGCACAGCCAGGCAGGCTGGGCTTAACACACACTCCAGTGATAAAGGGCAACTGTCCAGACTCAGACCCGGAGCAGAGTGACCAGGCTGGCTCGTTTTCATTGCTAAATCCCACAAAAAACATCCACAAGCAAAACAGAGAAAGGAACTTGGAACAGCAGAATTTGAAAGCCTAAACAAAACTCAAACCACAAGTGTTTGAACACTGAGAAAAAAGCTGCCTGCCCTTACCTCCTTTTCCAAAGGACATCATGCCATGTTCTTATTTTACCTCCTGCAGCAGTGACAGCCTTCCCAGCCTCACGGTAGCCGAGTGTCTTGCTGAAAGCTCCAAATGACACGGCACAATCTCAGCAGATGCCTGTGCCTGGGCAACACCTGCCTGCCCCAGCGCCGATCAGCATTTGCTAACACAACTCCTTCTTTTCATGTCAGCGCACCTCTCCCGTGCAAACGGCAAGGTGGGAGCTGAGCCTGGGTAAACGCTCCTGAGAACCTGTTGGAAGACAGGGACTTGGCTTATTTTCCACTTATACATTTACCCAGAGAAGCTGTAGCTGTCAGGAGCCTGGATGCAAGGGAAAATCTACAAAATCCTTTGCAGCCTCTACCTGAGCTGAGGAGGAGCTGGACATAAACGGAAACTGTTTGGACACCAAAAGCACTTGGCAAAATAGAGACAAAATGCAACTGGTCCCCATGACACACAGCCAGGCAACCGTCCAGCTCCAGTCTCCAGCTTTCCCTGGAACCCTTTCCCAGGGATGTCAGCCTGGGGGCTCAGCCAGGCCCCTGCTGCCACTGCCCCAGGAGGATGCAGCCCAGGCATCACACAGGGATCCCACTCCCACTCTCCTGGGCTGGGTTTGGGTCCCAGCCCCTCATGCAGATGCAGCCCAGGGATCCCGTTCTGTTCTCCCGGGGCTGTGAGAGGCTGGGCTGGGTTTAGGGAGGCTGGCGGCCACTGAGAGGCTTGGCTGCCAGACTGCTAGCACTGGAAAAGGCCACGCAGTCATGCTTTTGGAATGCTCCCCTGCTCCTAAGACATTACACAATTATTTCCCCTCCCCACAAACCCCCCTAATATAAATGTTTAAGAATGAGCTCAGCAGTAGGGAAAGGGAACTTTTTCCCTCTTTCTGAAGAAAACACAGAATGGCCACTGCATGGGCAAGGCTGTACATGGGGACACTGCTGGAGTGGGATTGTGGAGAGGGATGTGGGATGGGGCAGCAGCCCCCAGGCTCTCACCCCAGGTCAGACACTGCCTGGGAGACAAGTGCAAGTTGGGACCCGCAGCCCAAGGCCACCCTCAAGGAATGACAACGCGCCCTGACTGAGGCACAGCTGACCCATCCCTCGCCACGCCGAGGGACCCCCGCCCCACCCGGTCCCGCCGCACCCCCACCCAGCGCCTTGCCGGGCCCCACCCCTGCACCGGCCCCCCCTCTGAGCCCACACCTCACCAGAATCGGTAACCCCACATCCCACCGGTAACCCCAGATCTCAATCCCTCCAAACCCCACGAGTACACCCTGATCCCAGCTCCCCCAAGCCCGCCGGTCAGCACAAAGCCCTGTTTCTCCAGACTCCGCCAGTAACTCAGACCCCATCACAACCGGTAACCCAGACCTCGGTTCCGCCAGACCCCCGCTCCGGCCCCACTCCTTACCAGCACCCCCCACGGCACCAGTGTCCCCCTCCCCAGCCGCCCCCTCCCCGCTCGGCTCCCCCAGAACCGCACCTCTCTCCGCCGCTGCCCCGTCCCGCTCCGGCTCCGTCCCCGCGCGGCTCCGGGCACCGCCCCGGCCGGGGCCGCCCGCCGAGGGCGGAGCGGGGCCGTGCCGAGCCGAGCGGGGCCGTCCCGTCCCTTGATGGGCTGTGCCGAGCCGTGATGGGCCCTGCCGTGATGGGCCGTGCCGTGATGGGATGTGCCGAGCCGAGCGGGGCCGTCCCGTCCCTTGATGGGCTGTGCCGAGCCGTGATGGGCCCTGCCGTGATGGGCCGTGCCGTGATGGGATGTGCCGAGCCGAGCGGGGCCGTGCCGTGATGGACCGTGCCATGATGGGCTGTGCCGAGCCCTGCGGTGCTGAGCCGAGCCGAGCCGAGCCGAGCCGAGCCTTTTCCAGCACTGCCCCTGCCCGGCTCCGGGACCCGGAGCCCCCCGGTGTTCCCCCCGCCCCGAGCGCGTTTTACCGGTTCAGGTTCCCCAGGCCGAGCGGGGAGGGGGCGGCCCCAGCTGCCGGGGGGGCCGAGCTGCTGCCCTCAGCCCCCCGTGCCAGGTAATGCCGGCAGCAGAGCCCGCTGCCCACCGCGACAGACACAGGTGGCGAGGGACACCCCTTGTCCCCAGGGTCCCCTCCCGGGGCGCCGGCAGAGCGGGGCTGTGCCCGGCTGTGCCCGGCTGTGCCCGCACGAGGGTGACCCCGGTGTGCCCCGGCTCCCCGTGCCCACCGCGGGACCCCAGGCGGCTGCTCCCCCCGACATCCAGCTGCAGGGCACGGCTCCCGTCCCTCCGCCAGGGAAAGGCAGCCCCAGGAGCCTGGCCCGGACCCAGGCTCATAAACCACTGCTATTTTAAGGGCTTGCAGACTATTTTTCTATATTTATCAAGCCCCAGGCCAGGAGTTGGTTCCAAAGGAAATGTTTCCTTAGTAAAAAAGGGAACCACAGAGGAAGCTTTAAATGCAGCAGCCACTGCCTCCCAGTCTTATCCAACAGCCGGGCAGTGACCTGGAAAAGCAGAGCCAGTTCTCAGCCACCAGCATGAAAAGGAATGTGCCGGGGGAACAGGGCTGGGCAAGCAGTGTGAAGGGAGCATCAGGGGTGCCCGTCGGGGGGACGTGGGGATGTTTCCAGCAGGCAGCCCGCCCTCGGGGCAGAAGCAGCTGCTGCTTGAACTGCCGGGGAGGGACAGTGACATTCCTCAGCCTGCCCCACTGCCTCCCCCGCAGCCAGGACAGCCATCGGCCCTTTTCTCCCTCCTATTCCTCGTGTGGTGCTCCTGTTCCTGCAGGACTGGCCATTCTGCTGCCTCCCAGCAGACCCAGGGCTCCGGGTCCCCTGAGCTCTGTGCTGACGCTGGCAGCGCACCAGTGCCTCCCGCTGCCCACTGGATGGACGCTGCATGGGCTCTGAGCAGCGCCAGGGGCAGATGGACAGCGCACACATGGCTCTGCCTGTTTGCCTGCCTACATACATTAATCAGAGCTAATTGGCTTTTCGGTAAGTCGTCTTTGCAGGAGCTCTGCAAAGAAAGACTTTGAAGTAGGACTGCGAGTGGCAAAATCTTTATTTAAACACACAGTGCTACACAAGGACAGGCTCCCGGCCCGAGCACCACTCCCTGCAGCATGGGTGCCAACAGGTCCATATCTCGTGTGTAACTTTCACTTTCCATTGTGTGCACCCAGTTTATTTACATCTCGCTGGTTACAGGACACACACAACATTCACTAGAGGTGACACTTGACAAGAGCTGGCTGCAGCCAGTGACAGGATGGTGCCACAGAGCCTTTCCCAAGCAAGGGACCATGGCCCAGCTCTCCCCATCCCCACAGGGCCAGGATGGGACAATCCCTCACAGTTCAGGACTCTGCAGAGGTCTGGGAAATGGATGCTCCAGGTTAGAGATGTGTGTGATGCAAAAATCCAGTGCAGACACCAACTGCTCAGCTCCCCTCTGCACCAGTTCTGAGACCATTAAGGAAAACATGGGAGCTGTCTTTCCTGCCCTGGTCACACCAAGCTGCTTTTACTGTGGGTTCCCAGCCCGGGGCAAAGCAGATCCAGTGCAGTTAAGCTGTTAAGCTCACCTGAATAGGGCTGCTCTGTGTGAGGCTGCTAACTCAGAACCACTCCAAAATATACACATGCATTCACAGGCTCCCCACACCATGAAAGGATTCAGACATTTTCCAGCTCAGCTCTGCAGTTAATAAATAATTGGCTCCAGAAGCACTGCAGTGACCCAAGCCAAGAGAGGACAGGGGTAGAACCTGTGGCACAGCCAGTGCTGGTGCAATTGCTTGTCCCTGCTCAGGGCTCTGGGTGCACAGCAGAGCTTGGTCCCTGCTCCAGTCTCCCTGTCTGGATACTGAGGCAAAGTCCACGACAGAGTGAAGGTGTGAGGGGCTAAAAATTGAGAATACAAGGTTGGGATGGCCATTGTAGGGCCACAACTGGACTTGTGCCAGGCTTAGCACTGCCCAGCTGCCTGTGGGGCTTTACTCCCAGTCACATCCCACCTGAGCCCCAGCTCCCACCTGCAGCAGCAGCTTCAGTGTCACTGGCCAGAGCATCCCAGGGCAGGAGACAGGGGGTGACTGCAGCACGTATGAGTGCCCCAGCAGCCCCATGGCTCTCACACAGGGCTGCAGCCAGCACAGCCATGGCAAGAGGCAAAGGACATGCTGAGGAGCCAAGGAGCCTTCAGGCTTTTCACAGCATTGAGAAAGTAGCAGCATAAAAACACCCCTCAACCCCAGTGTTCACACTCTATCCAAGGCCTCTCCGTCTCTGCCTGGGACTGGGATGCAAGCCGGGGAGGGGGATGCTCTCGACAGAAGCACAGACTGACGCTCCAGGTTTCTTGCTCTTCTTGCAGCTGGCTCAAAAACAAGTGCTCAGAGGAGGTGTGGCCCTGAGGCAGCCTCAGTGTCCCACTGCACGGTGTCTCCATGCAGGCAAGGTGAGCTGCCCCAGGCTCACTCAGCATCACGTGTAGTTGCCGGGGCCACCCAGGGGGATCACAAAAACAGAGATGTCATCACCAGAGCCCAGCTTGTCATTGGCCAGGCGCCAGCCACGCTCCTTCAGCACCCCCCGTGAGCGCACCACCAGCTCCTGGGCCACCATGGTGTACCTGGAGGCACAGCAGAGCACGGCTCAGCACTGACCCCTGACGCAGCACCCTGGCAAGGAGGGACAAGCCAGAGCTGAAGGAAGGGGTGCCATGGAGAGATGCAGGCTCAGATATGCACATGCAGGGGAGCAATGCACTCCGTGGAGCCCAGAGGGATGCGTGGCCACAGCACTGCTCCAAGGAGCCAGGCCAAGGGGAGGTGGTGGAGTGCACGGCATGCCCGGCCCCCTGCCCACATGCAGCTCACCTGCACGGGTCGTTGGGCTCATAGCTGGTCAGCACCTCCATCACCACACCCGCCACCTCCTCGTCGTTGGTGACATCCCAGAGCCCATCGGTGCCCAGCACCAGGACATCGTCAGGGCAGTGCTCGTACTGCGTGAGGTCATAAACCCTGACCTGGCAGGAACAGGGCAAGGCACGAGGGTGACAGGCAGAGGGGCAGAGGGGGCTCCTGCTGCCCTGGGCCAGATCTCGTGGATCTGGGCCTGCCACAGGGCTCTGGCCATTGCAGGGGCCCCTGGGTGGGAAGCTGCTGGCAGCCAGGCTTACCTCTGGGAAGCAGGACAGGAAAGGCTTGATGTGGATGTTGGAGCTGAACACCTTGAGGTCGTGGTCTCCCAGGCCTCTCGTGACCCCAATCGTGGCCATCATCCGAGCCTGCAGAAGGGTGGAATCAAAAGAGAACTTTAGGCAGCTTTATTTCCAGTTACATTCCCAGCGGAGAATTGATGATGACAGCACTACCAAAAATGGGCTGAAATCCCCCAAAACAGTGAGAGCAGGCAGCAAACAACCCCTGCCAAGCTTCTGCCACAGTACTTTACCTTTTTGCCTTCCCCAAAGATAAGTGGAAACTTCAGGTCATCCTCTTCTATCTTTTTGTAAGCCCTGGTTAAAATAAGCCAGAGACGAGGTGTCAGCAGGTGAAGCTTCCAGCACCTCCTCTGACCACCTGGCTCCTGGGTGCCCAGTGTAGCAGAGCCCCCAGCCCATGGGATGGGATGCCAGAGATGAGCAGCCACCACAGCAGGACCCCAGTGCCACTGGTAGCTTGGGGCTTACCAGCCATTCATGTTCTGGTCCCTGTAGAGCATCTTCTTCCCCAGCTCCTTGGGCTGGATCCTGCGGGGGAACTCCAGGTGGGTGAACTCCTTCCCCAGCAGCTCGGGCCTCAGCAGTGCCTGCAGGAAGGAGTGTTGGCTCAGCCACAGGGCTGGGAGAGCAGGAGCTGTGGATCCAGCCCTGCCCAGATCAGGGTCTGTGGATCCAGCCCTGCCCAGAGCAGATCTGCAAATCCAGCCCTGCCCAGAGCAGGATCCACCATCCGCCGGGACTTTGGCTACAACATCCCATGGTGGGATAATCTCAGCTGCTCTGGAGCCACTTGAATGGGTGCTGGTAAAGCAGCTTCAAACCACCCACCTGTGCTAAGCCAGAGGGAAAACTGGAGCTGAGGACAGCCATGCCAGCACTCAGCAAGAAGGTGAAGCTTTTGCATAGAGAGTTTGGGGAAAGAAAGGCCTCCAAAAGTGATCGAACAATCAAACCCCAGCAAATTCCAGGAGAAGCTGGAATTTGCCCAGAAGTCGTCATAGCTGCAAAGCTCCCAGGATCCCAAGCTCAGTGCAGGGCATGGCACTCACCCCAGGAAAAGAGTGATGGGTCTTTTCTGAAACAGAGTCCCAGCTGTGACCATGACAAGGGACAAGCAGCAGCACAGAGCCCTACCCAGGGCAGCTCATGGAGCACAGTGTGGAGGGCACCAGGAACAGGGAGTGCTGGAAAATGCTGAAGGGGAAAGAAAAGCAGGACGAGAAGAGGAGATCCCTTGGGAAGATGGGATGGCAGGGGGTGGGGGCAGAGGCATGGAGACCCCAGCCCATTCTGGGGGAGCCCTGACCGCAGCCTCAGCATCACGTGGCAGAGCAGCCTGTGCCTGTCCCCAGGCTGTGCCCTGTCCCTCGCAGCCAGCTGGGGAGGATTCTGATCACAGCAGTTCCCTCCTCTCGGTCATTCAAAAATAGATTCCAGAAAAAAATGCCTCAATGTTTTTCCAAGTACATTGCAAGCCAGGAAATTTCATCCAGCAAGACCTTCTCCAACACAAACTGCTCCTCCCCTGTGCTGCCCTCAGAGAGGTCTTTATAACCTTAAAGAGTCTCCCTGGGTGGCACCAGCGGGTTCATCCAGGAGAAGGACGGGGAGCTGTCAGGGCCAAAGACAGAAACCTTGGCGCACATCAGCTGTGACTCTCCAGGGAGCAGCCAGGGAAGAAAGTAGGACTGGGCAGGAGCACTGCAGCTCCTCTGACACAGCAAACCAGGGCTCTGCCAGCCACAAGATGCCCCCATGCCAGCTCCCTGCATCCCAGGGCCTCTTCCCATCCCAGGAAGCAGCCTGGGATGGACAAGTACCAGCAGCAGGTCCCCGCCATGGGGCTGCCCTCGGGTGCAGACCCCACCATGGCAGCAGTCCAGCAGGCAGCACAAGGGACTGGGAAGAGGCCAGGAGGTGTTTCAGCAGGAATGAGGTTAGAAGAAAGGTCTTTCTTACTAAAAACTGCAGCCTCTGCCTCTCTGTCTCTGGAGTAAACTCCCTGGACATTGGAATGATTTCCCCATTACGGATGATAATGGCCCTGCAATGAAACATGGAAGGATGAGATTAGACAGAAGGAGACTTGGCTGAGGAGCTGAGCCTGGCTCTCCAGGGCTGATTCCCAGGATGGTGCAACCCCTTCCCCTCTGCTGCCCCCCTTTCCCAGCCTGAGGTGGGGGCTGCTTCCTGGATTCACTGCTGCCCCTGGGCAGGGCATGGCATCTCCCCCTCCTGTGCAGGAGAGGGGCAGGGAGGAAGGGGAAATGGGAGAGAAACATGGGGCAGAGAGGAATGAAACAGACCAAATCCAAGGACAGAATATGGTTAGAAAAGGAGCAGCACGAAGGCTGCCTTCAGAGGGGAGCTGCACACAGCAGGGGCAGAAACTGCCTGCAGCAGGAGAGCTACACGTGCCCACCCCACACCAGCACTGCCACTTGCTGCTGGGTCTGCTCTTACAGTTTGATGTCTCAAGAAAACATAAAGGTCTGATTATGAGATGTCTCTGGATGTCATGGTAGGCCCAAGGATCCCCAACACTGATCTGGTGGCTGTGAGTCTCCTGCAATGATGCAGGGCCAGGCTGGGCTCAGCTCTGGCAGTGTCTGACACCTGGGAAGGCAGCACAGGCTGTTCCCCAGAGGCACAGCCACAGCCTCAGCACCCTGTGCATGCTGACATCCTGCATGGCTGGTGCCTGGCTGCTGCTGCCACGGAGGGGGGCCTGCACCCAGAACGAGGGCTCTCCTCCTCCTCTGTCCCAGAGCTGGAAGCACATCCAGCCTCAGAAAATTGACCAGAGCCTGTATTTGCTGCTCTGACATTGCTGAGGACAAGGTAACCTGTAGTAAATACCCAGAGCAACTGTAGCTGCCCCATTCTTGGAAACGTTCAAGGCCAGGTCAGACAGGGCTTGGGACAAGCTGCTCTAGTGGGAGATGTCTGAAATGGCAGGGGGTGCAACAAGATGAGCTTTAAGGTCTTTTCCTACCCAAACCATTCTCTGATCCAATGATAAATACAGGGCCGTTCAAACCAGCTTCACCTGCAGTGTCACCTTTAGTGTCAGGTGGACCTTTTGCCATTCCTTGGGGCTGTGGGCACACTCAGGGGCAGTTAGAGTAGCCCACCCTGGAAATACACACAGCAATTAAAGTGCTTGTGCTCCAAGCTCCCACTGCACACAGATTTGTGTCCTGCTCCTGAAACAGGTCATTGGTATGAAGTGTACTCTAAAATGACTTCTTGCACATTTTTGAAAGCTTTGCTGAGTGCAATTTTCACTCTCCAAGCTGCAGCCCAGGCCAGTGCCAGCAGCAGGGGCCAGGGTGCCCAGAGCCATCCAGGTAGCAGAGAAGATGGAAAGAAGGGAGCACGTCCCAGATTTTGGGAGGCAATTCTACAGCCCTGTCCATGTACCTGGCAAGCACAGAGATCACAGCAGAGCACACTGTCCCCAGGGCATGGAGCAGGCGGGGGATGACTCTGCCCAGTTCTGCCACCTCCACCCTCCCCTGGACAGGGACGGAGCGGGGTGCTCCTCACCAGCATCCCTCCGGCACCACCCCACTCTCCTGGGCAGAGCTGGGGGCTGCCCTGCGGGGCTGTACCTGCTGTCACCAGCGTTGGCCACGTAGAACTTGCCCATGAGGTAGATGGCAGCCAGGGCACAGCAGCCCCCAGGCAGGTGCTGGGACGCGCGCTCCCGCTCGATCTGCTCGTCCTGGGGAGACACAGAGGGTGAGGGCAGCCCCAGAGAGCACCTGATAGCACAGCTCCAGCCAGGGCACCTTTCCCCACACTGCCACGGAGAGGCTGCAGGGCTTGTGGGGCTTGTGGGGCAGCCAGGGATGTGGCTTCACTGGGGCAGGGAAGAGCCAGACAGGAGGGGAGCAGCTGGGCCTCCTGGGACAAAGTGTAGGGGAGCCTTCTGCACCACACAGGCCCCGAGCCCAAAGCCTCTGCATTCTGAAAGCTCAAAATGCAGAGCAGCACAGAGCCCTCTCTGACACCACCATGCTTGGAGCCCTCCCTGCAGTCCCCAGAGCTGCCTTTTACCAGTGGGGTCAAGTTGATGCAGACACAGACAGCAAAGAGGGGCTCTCAGGGGGTGCTCTAGATGATGCTACAGGCAGAGGATCCTCACCATGTGCTTGAAGGCATTCTCGATGGCACCGATCACCAGGCTCTCATGGGACACTGCTTTCTCCAGGTGAAACCGTGGCACAGCATCGCTGGGGACCTCCCCACAGCCCTCTGCATTGGACATCTGGTTTGTGTCTGCAGAACCGCTCTGTGTGTCATGTGGGAGGCAGATGGGAGGTGGGGAGGGGTCCTGCAGGATCTCCACGAGCTCCCGGAGCTGCTCACAGATGTGCAGGTGGAGCCTCTCGGATGCCATGACAGCAGCACCGCTGCCTGCATGGCCATCAAACAACGCCCAGTAGTGGAAATAAAAACCTTTCCTGCCCTGCCGGGAGAGGACGGAAAGCTAAATGAGCCTCCAAGGAAGGAGATGGCACGGGGAATTGAGAGCAGCTGGCCAGCAGCTGAGGACAGTGAGACGAGTCTCACAGGTCTCAGTGCAGGCAGGAGCAGTGTGGGCAGCTGACCAAGGGTGCCTGGACACAGCTAAGCCCTGGCTGGAGCCCAGCCCTGTGTCAGACGCCTCGTGCCCTCAGAGGCAGCTCGGTTCCAGCACAGCAGCCACCTCTGCAGCCCACTGGGGCACGGGGGCCACGGCTCTGCCTGGGCCAGCCCTGGTGTAGTCACACAGGGATGGAGCATGGGAGGAGAAGGGCCACGAACCAAGGGAGTCCCCAGTGTGCACACATGGCCACGTGCCCCATCTCATGCCCTGCTGCTGGGCACCTTCCCGGTTGTGGCCCTGCTTGTGAAGCACCAGGCTCTCACCCCATCCAGCTCCCGGCTGCCTTCCCTGGATGACAGGCAGCCCCTCGGGCTGGGCCTCTGCTCCACAAACACCACCTCACAGCACGCCTGGTCCTCATTGTGCTGGCTCTTCCCTGCGTTTATCACCCTGCCAGGAGGAAAAAAGGTGTAAAGACCCTTTCTTTCACATCCTGCTCCAGCAAATGCCATCCCCCAGCACCTCTTCTCCCCACCCCAACCCTCCACTCATGTCCCCGTGCCCCCAGAGATGCAGGGATGCCCTGCACAGGTGCTCCTGTCCTGTCCCAGGTGCCTCAGACCAGTTGTGTGGGCTGATCTGGGGCCAGGAGCAGCACTGAGTCTCACCCACAGCTGGGTCCAGGGGGGAGCAGTTGTCCACACACCTACCAGGGGAGGTGACCAGAAACAAACTGAGTTTGCTGAAGGTCCCTGGACTGCCCCAGGCAGAATAACTGCCCCAAAGCCTGTACCAGCCTCAGATATACACCCCTGGGACACACAGAGAGAATCACAGCCTCGCCCACATCCCATCACCTCTTAGGGGGAGCAGGGGGCTCAGGGAAGGAGGGGAGAAGGTGATGGTGATAAAACCGGCAGAAATTTTGCAAAAAGATTCACAGTGACTTTTCCCAGCCTGATTTGACACAGCAGATTTCAGGTCTAGATTGCAGAACCTGCTCACAGGAAGAAGATGTAAACACAGCAGGGTGATTTTTCTTCAGGCAGACTTCCCTAGTGGTTTGCAGAAAGAACTCTTGGGACACCAAAAAAGAGACCTTTTCACTCTGGGTGCTCCTACCCCACTATCTCCAAGGGAAAATCAATATCCCATAAAGCTCTCTAGGATTTCGGGAAGATCAGCTTGAGGATGGAATTGCGGGAGTGGGCTGACAGCAATAAGCAGCAAAAGCCTTCAAAGTCTGACCTTCCCCCCCCAGTTAGGGCTGAAACTCGCAGTTTTCAGTGAGTGAAAGAAGTGACAGACAGGTGAAAGAAGACGACAGTCAGGTCCTTGAAGGGAAAGTCTCAACGAGCCTCACTCCCAAGAAATCCCCAGCTCCCTGCTCCCCACGAGTCCTGCCAGAGGCGCCGCAGCTTCCTCGCCCTCGGTACCCATCGGTGACAGCGGGTGTTGTGCAGAAAGCGCAGAAAACAAAACGAACAGAAGAACCCAAACCCCTCGGGGATCGGTGAGAGCGCAGCTCCGGGCTGACGCGCTCCCATCACGGGCACCCACAGCGCCCGCTCCTCGCTGCTGCCGCTGCTGCTGCTGAAGAGGGACAGCCGCAGCTCACCGCCCGCCGCGACCCACTTTCGCGCCCGGGCTTCCGTGCCGAGCGGTGCCATCCCTCCCGCCCTCCCGGGCCGCGCACGCCGCTCCCGGCCCCGCTCACTCTGCGTATCCCGTGCTCCAGGGCAGCCGGCGGCGCCCGTCGCGGGGGCTCTGCACCGCCCGCCCCGTGTGGTCGTCGGCGCGGCGCAGCTCCTCGGGAGTCAGCTGCAGGAAGGCCGGCCGGCAGAACGCGGCTGGCGGCGGCGATCCGCGCCCGGCCCCGGCCCCGCCGCCCCGGCCTTCTGCGGGGGGCTGCGCGCCCGGCCCCGCGCCCAGCCCCGCCGCCAGCTGCGCCACGGCAGCGCGCACCCGCAGCAGCATCCCGCGCCGGGCCGAGCCGAGCCGGGCCGAGCCGAGCCGAGCCGAGCCCGCCGCCCCGCCCCGCCTCCCCCCCGCCGCGGCACGGGGGGGGAAGCAGGCGCGGCAGCTCAGCCGCAGCGGGTACGCGCATCTCCCGCAGCCGGCGGGGAACGAGCCCTCCTGGGTAATGAATCCCCACCGTTATCCCGCTGCCGGCGGGGAATGAGCCCTCCCGGGTAATGAACCCCCCGCCGTTATCCCGCAGCCCGGTGGAGGTGGAAGTCGAGCTCTCCCGGCGAGGGACCGGCACCCAGCCGGGAGCCCCGGGGACCCGAGCCATCCCGGCCAGGAAATGCTCTGGGAAAGTCTTTTCCCGGCTGGAGGTGGGGCTGCGCGGAGACGGGCTGGCCATGGCCACGCGTTCTGCCCACAGGTGAGTTTCCTAACTGGATCGTCCCGAGATTCCAGCGGAGCCACCTATTCCGGGACAACATTCCCGTCCAGCACCAGGCGCTCTGTCCCCCGTGTCGCGCTCCTCAGCCCACGCGCGGCCGTCCCGAGCTATTAATAACCCGCAGCCTGCGGAGCAGCAGGGACGCACCGTGAGAGCGCTGAGAGCTGAACCTCTCCCTCCCTTTCACCCAGGATGCTGCGCTCCAGCGTGAGCAGGATGCGGATTTAGCTGATGCAGAACAACACACCCTCCCTGGCTGGGAGGGGAAGAGTCGCCAGCTTAAACACCATCGCTCGCCCAGCCTGACCTTAGCACCTCCCTGCCTCCTGTGACAGCAAAAAAACCCATTAAAAAAAAAATGCTTGCCTACTGTAAAGGAAAATTGAGGCTGTTTCTTAAAATTCGTGCGCCCCAGTGCCTCAGTTTCACAGAAGAACCACTGATTCCTGTCAGCACGGGGTTTTTGCATTGTAAGTTACAAACAGAAGCAGCACTGAGAAGCCCTCCAGGCTTTAGTCATCTTCAACCAGAGATCTTCAAACTGTACCAGATTATTAGGATCACAGTACAGAAGTGACTTAGTGGTACCTGCATTTCCACCTTCTAATCCCAAGATTTAAGGTCTTCAGTACTCTTTAAAGCTTTTTCAGTATCCTTCAGGACCTGGTCTAGTGGGCAGCATCCCTGCCCACAGTGGGGATAGGAACTAGGTTATCTTTAAGGTCCCTTCCGGGGGCGTTAAGCACCCTTCTGGATCTTTAAGGTTCCTTCCAAACCAACCCTTCCAGCCTGAGGCCAACACCCTTCTAGCTCCTCTCCAGCATTCATGGGTCCTCTCCTCAGCTCCTGATGCCTTCCCCTCACAGCATCCCTGTCCAGCTGCTGGTCATGCATGGGGTGCTCTTAGATATTCTGAGTCCAAAATCACGGTGTTATTAAGGCTGAAAATCACTGGATTCTCCAGGGAATGTGTCTCCCTGCTGTGGGACTGCCAATCTGCCCCGTACTGCTGAGTCACCAAGATGCTTTCCTTGGAAAGAATGAATTGGCAGTTTCCAGACTGACTTCTGTGACCCTGCTCGGTATTTGTTGTTTCCGTTATGTTGAGCACAGCATGGAAAGAATGGTCTGACAAATAAACACATTTCTGCAGGAATGCTCCCTGAAACAATGCCATGTTAAAGACTGTTTTCCAAGGAAGAGGGCTCCATTTCCCCCTATTCATCCTGCCAGACAGATTCATGTAAAGTTTTCTCCTTATCTGCAGGCTGATGTTCCTCTTCACAAGGTTGCCTGGCACAAGGCCTGGGGATGCAGATGTTGTAGGCTGAGTCAGACTAATGCCAATAAACAGCCACTTCAGATGCCAGCAGCTCTGCCCTTCGCTCTCCCCATCCCTCTGGGGGTCCTGCCTGGGATATTCATGCTTTCCTGTCTCCCCATCTCACCCAAAGCTACTCCTGAGCATGGGGGTGTCAGGTCCTCACCTTCCCTGGACACAGCTTCATGTGGAGCACTCCAGCATGCTTCCATGATAAACAGTGATTTTAAAATCAGTAACACAGGAATTGGTCTTAAATTATGCTATTTTAGTTAATTTCTCATGTAACTGCTTAGCATCAAAAAAGCCTTTCTAAGTTTCCTCTTTCATCTATGCTGCTGAGCCCCAGAGGAGGTAGGATGGAGCCAGAGATATTTCTTTGTGAAAGAATGACATGTTGGTTGCATTTAAGCCAGAACAGAACTAAATTAAACATCTAGATCATAAAAGTACCAGAGGATGTTTTAAAACAGGTTCTTTGCAGCACTGCATTAGTTGACTGTAGAGCCTGACTGTGTAATGAGTAATATATTAATTTATAATTAGCATAGTACAGTGAAGCTCAGCAAATAACTCTGTGCACTCTGGATAATTCATCAACAGAAGAAGTGGTTCTTAATGGTTTCCAAGGTTTGTATGTCCCCTGTAATTGGGAAGTTCAGCATTTATTGTTATTTCTTTGAAGGGATAATTTGATTGCAAGCACACATCTTTATTCCCTGTCTGTTTCTGCTGGAGTGCAGAGAAGCCTTTGGAGCATTGCTGCTCTGGGTATCTCTGTGACCTCTCTGCAGGTGAGCACATCATTGTTTTGCAGAGCAGATGACCTGGATTTGGTGCAGATTCTCAGAGGGTTTTACCCATTCCCTGCTGCAAAGGGGAGGGAGGAAGGGGGCACATTAACCTCCTTGGGTCACTTGGCTTTTCCCCCTCTGCAGCTTCAAAATCTTCCATACAATTTTCATATCTCTCAAGGGATCTTCATTCACAATTCTGCTCTCAAAGTCTTCAGGAGCCTCCTGGTCTCATTTAATATTACCTGACAGTAGAAATACAGAAGGAGAAGAATAGATGTATTACAGTAACACTCGCTGGAATTTATGGAGCCTTTGGGGAACTTACTTTTTAATTTGGATGCTCAGACCCACATTCCAGAGGATGCAGGGAGCAGGACCTCTCCCTGCTTTTGCAGCAGTGCCCAGAGATCCTATCCCTGGACTGCTGTTTTGGCAGGCTGGGAATCTGCACTGAAATCCCCTGTTGTCAGCAAAACCTTTTGAAAAGGGAACAAAATCCTCAGATGCTGGTACTCGGTGCTGAGACAGCCTGGAGGCACGGGGGCCTCGTCAGATGAAGGAAATAAATAAACTTAAACTGAATTAAGATCATAATTCAGTGATCCACTGAAAACAGGGTGTGATAACTCTTCCCCAGGAATAAAATGTCAGGAGTTCTGCTTTTTCCAGCTTTAATAAAATAATTTGTACCCTTCTGCCTATTATCAGCTGCAGATAAGGTGATTGCACTGAGCATTAGAAGCCTTCTAACATGTGCATCTGCCTTTGCATGACCATTTGCCCCTAACCCTTCTTGTAGCCCAAGCCCCAATCCATGTGGTTTCATCCTGAAAAAGAAAAAAAGCTGATTGCTCACCTGGAAGGTACAGAAGGATTCCAGGCATGTAGCAAATTTCTTATATGGGAGCAGGATTTATCACTAAGGATACATCAGGAAGTGTTGCTAGGGTTTTCTTGGGCAGTTCCTTTCCAAACTTGGCTTGTTATGGATACTGGAAACTTGGGTGCCCTCACCCAGTAAAGTGCTGGGCTCCTTGAGGAGTCACAGCCAGGGAAGAGAGCAGGCTGAAGGCTGGGCTGGACACTCAATAAGAAGTCAGGATGATGGTGAGAAGGAATTTCTGTGTTCACTTCCAGCTGAATTGAAATTAAACCAGTTTTACTGAAGTCTTAATTCCTCCCCTGCATTTAAATGCTGTGATCTGGAAAGCAACAAGTTTATATTTCTGTATCATACATCAATAAAGAGCTAGAGTTTTGTACACTTCCTTATTAAATAATCTGGCCTAATTTAATTGGAATTTGGCTGGTGTGGAAAATAACTCTGATTTAATTTGCTCTTGATTGTTCCACTAAAACTTTGTGATCTGAAAGTAGCGTGTTTGTATTTACTTATCGCAGCACTAGAGACCTGCATTGGCAGGCTCTCGATCAAATTACCTGATGAATATAAACAGCAGATTTAATTTAGTTTCATATTGATTTTTGTCATTATTATTAAAACCCTCTGATCTGAAGAATGAGATGCTTGTATTTCCTTAATATCTTATTACTGGGGTTCAGGTTAATCTTGTAGAGCTTTTCCTTTTTCTTTTGAGTAACCAAGTCTAACTAATTGGAATTTAACATATGGCAATATTGACTCTATAAAGGGGGAAAAGGAACTCAGTTTCCTAGGGCAAAATAGCAAAGTAACCTAATCTTGTCAGGGGCTGGGGTACTCTCCCCTGGATACCTGTACTTTGGGGGTCGTGGGTGCCCCAGGAGCTGGTGAGTCCCCTCAGGACCTCTGCCTTGCCCTCTGTCTGGTGCCCTGAGGAGCTGCCAGTGGTGCCCACGGGGCGCTGGGCAGGGACCCGCCGCAGTGCCCTTTCCAAGGGCTGGCTTCTGGCCAAGGGAGGGGACATGCACAAAGGCTTTGGGATCCCATGGAAAGCAAATGGCTGGGGGATTTGCAAACTGCCCACGTGTGAGTTGTCTGAAGAGCTGCTGTGCACCTGTAACTCAGCTTGGCTTTGGAAATGATTCCATGCTTCCAGCTGAGTGTGGGGTGGAAGGTCCAGGTGTAAGCAGTGAGCTGTCTTCAGAAACCAAAGGCTTTCATCGATGTGCAAATAGCTTTGAGCAAAGCACCAAAAATGAGTG